GTCAGACTAGTTTTGCAGAATTCCACTCCTCATCGATACCTCACTACTATAAAGACTTGGTTTGGTCTTAAGTTTCATTCGGTGGTAGTGTCCAGGGTCACTGATGAGGAGTGGAATTCTCCAAAACTAGTCTGGCCCACAGACACATCCCCAGTGAAAGAATAGACCATTCCAAGCTTTTACTTGTTGTTAAACAAATGTTTAACAACTCTATTCAATTATGTACCAGTTGCCAATGTCGGCTAAAAATACGAAGAATTAAATTGTGGCGGAATGCTAGAAGTTCTTCAAATACCTATAGAATGATAGGTTTCTTTTTTGTGAGTATAAAACACTTAAATACACCATTTTGCATTTATCAAGTACTTTAAATAAAATAGAAGCTCACCAAAAATGCTGACTTCTTCCATAGATGACCATGTAAAGTTCTATATAAACGTCCTGAGAAGAATCCAGCAAGTATTCTGTCATGACGAGAATTATTATACAATTTAAGACAATCCACCAGAAACTTATATTCTGAGGCTTAGAATATTTTGTTTAACACATTAATCAGTAATTAATCTAACAAGATAGAACATTATATAATGTCCAGATAGTTATCAAACGTTTCTTAAGAAAAAACTTTATATTTTATGTGTTATTTTCAGTAACTGACCTTTACTCTTTACAGAGTGACCTGCCTTGGTTGTGTTTTAGTAGACTAGTATTTTGTAAAATACAGTCACATTTCAATTATTATACATGATATATGTATATAGATATTGCTATTTAGAAATAAGTTCTTAAACTTATTTTTCTTAAAACATAGAACAGTAAATAATGAAGTAAACCAAACAATTATCTCTTCTAGTTACGACCTTTGTACTTGGTTGCTGCTTGACGTAGGTTACTAAGCCTTTAAAAATTTTGCACATGGAGGATATGAAACAAAATAATTTTTGGAGGTTTTATATATACATTTGAATAACTAAAAAATCATAAATTACTACATCAATACCATAAAATTCCACTATAATTTATCAAGCTTAGTAATTAAGATGTAACTTAGTCTAAAAAAATATGAAATTTCGAGCAGACTAAACACACATCCTACCTCTTTGAAATCTTGGTTCAAAAGAAAGAATAGAATTCCATAGATGACCACGTAAAGTTCTATATAAATGGCCTGAGAAGAATCCAGCAAGTATTCTATTATGATAAGAATTATTATACAATTTAAGATAATCCACCAGAAACTTGTATTCTGAGGCTTAGAATGTTTTGTTTAACACATTAATCAGTAATTACTCCAACAAGATAGAACACTATGGTCATGACAACAAAACTGTACACCAATACCAACAAGACAAAAATAAATTACCTAATGAGTATAACAAGAAAGATAGCTAGTCATAATAGTAAGTAATTACCAGATAAAGACAAATAGCAAATGTGTAGTCACATTAGGCAGTACAGATCCCACAAGGATAAAACAAATTGTAATATAGAAAACAAAACATGAAATTGCAGCATGATAGTGCTTGAAAACAAAAATATGGTTAAAGTTGCTGTACGAATAAAAAAAGAATAAAGTGGTCAATGTTTCAGCAAACAAAGTTGTGTACATCTGACCAAAACAATGACCACTTAATTATTTTTTCTCACAGCAACTTTATTCATTTGTGTTTAAAAGTACAAAAACTACTGTTGTCATGATAATCATTCAATACTTACCCTATAAAGATAAAAAGAAAGATAACAGTCATAATGATCAGTACTCACCCACAAAGATGTAAAAAGTGATAGCTGGTGTCATAATAGTCAGTACTCACCCCATGAACACAAAAAGAAAGATAGCTGCAGTCATGAGAGCACCACGAGAAGCAGGAGACAACATACCAAGCATTGCAAAAACTGAAAAACGAAGATTCAATATAACTGGCAACATTTCAACAACTAAGACCTTTGAACAAAATTTTCAAGAAAGCAGTGAACTATATTATTAAGTGTGTTAACTAAAAATGTTTAATTTTTTATTAACACTTAAAAACTCAGTTGTTTATTTTTAAATAAAAATTCAATTAAAATGCTTAAAGTGATCTTTATGTGTAAAACTTATTACACCCTAAATTGTCTTCGAATTAGTGCTAACTTCACAACATCAATAAAGTGATGATAATTCTGCAATTGTGGTAAAGCAATGCTAACCCAGCAATATCGCTGAAGTGATGCTAATTCTGTAACATCACTGAAAAGATGCTAATTCTGCAACATCAGTAAACTGATACAACTCCATAACATAATTGAAATAATGTTAATACTGCAATACTGGTAAAGTGATACTAGCTGCAAAATGTGACTGATGTGATCCTCAGGAAGGCAAATGAAAATTTTCTGGGTTAAAATTTTTTATTCTACCCTTATCACAGCAGACACAAATTAACTATTGTACACTTCAGAAATATTGGTCCAATTTTCTTATTTATTAACAAAATGAAAATACATATTATCTATCTTCTTCTTTGTTATTAAAATGTAAGCCCTTCTGGGATAAACTTACAATGACAAGGATAACATGCACAGTATTAATGAATGTATAAAATTCAAAGCAAAACACAAAACATAGGCTTTCACTTTATTCAAAGCATTAATCATAAGATTTCAATCTCCACTTTGGGGTGATATTCCAAAGGAGGAATGAAAGCTTGTCAATGAATTAGTGAATGTGGCACCATAATGCCTTCACCATAATGATTCGTTACAAAAATCATTTGACTAAATATTAATGAAAATGTTATTAAAAAATAAACAATTTCAACTGGATTACTCAAAATAATTTGTCGGGCACTTACAGATAGTTATAAATGTCATGAAGAATAACTGAATCCCTGTGCCAATAATAGCAGCAAAAAGTTTGGGATAAGGAGGAGGACGGAACACATCTCCATGTACTAACTTCCATCCAGTTTCTTCCATTGTTTCTTCCTGCAAGAACATTTATCTTGGTTGAGTTCTTTCTTCCAAATACACTTTTTATCATCTTTATATATATATATATATATACACACACACACATATTTTTCTTTTTCTTATAGTTGAATATTTGTGAATCCAATAAAGTTGAATGTCTTAGCAGGAGGTTAATATTTTGCATGTTGATAAACCTTCAATTTTAGATCAAGTTTGAAAATCCTGATAAAAAGGTTCAGTCCTAAGCTATTAAAAGGGATTTGTGAATTATATTAAAGTCAAGTCTCATTTTTAATTGTATTAAAGGTAAAACAACTACGGTTCAACGAGTGTAGAAAAAAAGCATTGGGTTCTAAGAATAAAACTTTCTTCTTCTGTATGTGCATTCGATTATTTCTTCTAATGCTATAGACATAGGCTCATGTATTTTACACAATCTTGTAAGCACCATGAAACCACAAAGGTATAAATATTATAACTCTGAAAATATTTGATGTATCTTCATGAAATTTGGTAAACATTTAGTAAACATTACAAGTCTTTTGTACACAAAAAAAAAATCAGAATGTTTAATTAAATATTTTTATCAACAATTTTTCCATGGAGTCAACATTGACTGGTTCAAACATAAAGTGATTTTCATGTTAAAATTAAAAAAATTTCTATCATTTTAGTTTTCAAATTTCATTTGAATAGCCTCTAAAACCTCCTAAATGAATATCAAACATTTTTTTCAGTAAAACTTTATATTATATCCATTATTTTCTGTACCCTAACTTTATACAGGCTTGGTCAATTTGACCAATCTTGTAACCACCAAGAATAACCGCAAATTGTAACATAAAACTACAATTGTTTATTCTAAACATCTTAAAGTATGTAACAGTCTACATCTACTTCTACTTAATTTTATTGTTTTATTGCCCTTTGAGCTGTGTCTAACTTATAATCCTGCAATACAAGTTGCAAATCATTTGGTAAACATGCTCATGTTACCATAATGAGTAACATAATGCATGAGCAACTCACAAGCATACCTCGTGGAAAACTTTTTTTTATTATTATACATTTTTCATTATCTTACCTAATTTAACCCAATAGGCTTCTAATTTTTATATCTTGGTTTTAAAACAATAAATAAAAAATGTTCATAAAAAACAACTTGGCCTGAGTTATGTTTTTTTTTTTACTGTTGACCTGTCAATGAAATTTAGGCCAATAAAGACTTCCTTTCAGATAAAGCTTTTTTCTGTTCATCGAACCTCCCACGAGCAACTTCCTGACAGATGTGACATATGACTGTGATTTTTGGGAAGAAGGTCGGATAGCAACCTCTCTATAGTGACTTTTCTTCATTTCAATAAAAAAAAGTATTAACATGTTGTGTGTTCATTTATTTTATTTTACGTGTACATGTGTGTACTATAATCTGAATCAGTGATGATTCAACTGAACTTTGTTGATGTCCACACCACACAATGAAAATGAATATGAAGTCTGGGAAATTTTCATATTTTATGTAATACTCTACAAAATATGAATATTTCTACCATGATTATTCAATGTAATCAGAAAAAATTAATAATTTCAACAGCAGTTACTGTTTGATTACACCAGCTGACACGTGAGTGTATTGACGAATAATTTGTAATTGGCCATGAAAATGAGAACATGATGCAAGCTGGGAAAATCTTCAGCAGTCAGAATGAGTATTTTCTAGAGATGTTAGATGATGCATGACATAGGTAAGTAACTCTCCTGGTGAGTAGTTAATCTGCAGCTTGCTCTATAAATATGACACGTATCGAAGAAGAAGTCACTTACATTTATGTAGAACGATAGATTTTGTTTCACAATGCCCCAAGAAAAGTGAAAATGTAAACACCTCACCTCAATTTCATGTGCTGAAAGTAAACTTCTTGATATCATCTCTGCCAGATTCATGTACATTCAAAGTGAACCTGTTAATTGTGCAAAACAAAGGTGGATAATTTTTTTTATCAAATAAATTTGATGTTAATCTTTCATATTTTACATATATGAAATAAAAATTTGATACATGTATGTTTTATGAAAGAGAGATATGATGATTTATGAAACAAGTGTGTGATTGATGATTAAATTATTTGACATAAAACACAAAGTTATCTTTATTGAACTGTTATCCATTATAACTATTATTGAACCAATTTGCTATATCATCTGATTACCTATACAGTATATAAACCATTATACTCAAACCTTAGCAAATGGGATTGACACAGCTTGAACTCAGTTGTTTGTTATTTTGATAGTGATCCATTGAATAATGACTTCCTGTTATAAACGACTTTTTTATCATGGCAGATACGTTGGTCATAACTAAGAGGGACTACTGTACCACAAAAAAATAAATATTTATTTGAAGAATATACATAAGAACACAGAATAACAATATGTGTAAAGGAAACAATTCCCCATAACTGTTTTAATTTAACTGACTTTGTAACTAAGGCATAAGTGCCTTAAAATAATTTTCTAACTACTTGATATGAACTATATGAAAGTAGCTTTCAATCTGTTAGCAAAACATGTAAAACTATGTACTGAGGACAACTTAGCATTATACATCATTCAGTAAATTAAAACTTTTTCTATTGGATATCAATGATGTACTAGAAAATGTCAGAGAGAATTACTGGTAATTTGTGATAGAGAGGATGTGACAGGTGGGTTTGAATTTCTAGCTTATGTCTCCATAAACAAAGAAGATTGAAAGCTATAAAAATTACACTTTGCCTTAGTAATATCTATGCTATAATTAGTAATTTGCATTACACACATCAGGGAGGCGTGGTGAAAAAAAGAGGACAGGCATGACACAGTGAACAAATGACATGATTCTCATACAAGAGGAGATTAAAAATCTATTTAAATATGTCGTTTTAAAACTAAAAATAAAAAGCTATATAATATTGAAACTTGATTTATTAGCTACATTTTCATCCCAAGAAGATTTGTATACACTGACAATAAAATAGTTTCATTAAGTTTTGAATGTAACTCTATAAAAAGTCATGACATGTATACTTTGACTTACCCATAGTGAGATAGCAAGTTAGTTACGAATCACCATATAAGAAACTAAATACTGTTTGAGACATCAAGTCAACTTTATACATTCTTAAACCTACTGTATTATTAGAGTGCATTAATCATTCAATAAAGATGTGTGTATATGTACGTATGTTTATTTATCTGTATAAAGTTGTAAACAACTTCACAAAAATTCAAAATCTAATTAAACTACTTTCTTTTCATGGTATACCAATAAGTATAGCTAATAATCCATATTTTAATAGTATATAACTTTCAAGTTCTTAATTTTATAAGGCAATATTTAAAAAAAAAGAATTTATCCTAGTGTGAGAATTGTGACATCTTTTTCTCTAGGCATCCCCTCTTTTCTAATTTATTTACCACCCCTCTAAGAAGGATCAAACTTAATGGAAATTACTCATTATAATGTCATCATCACTCAGGCAAAGCATAATTATCATAGTCTTCAATATGATTTGGTTACAGAGCCATCAAATAGAAAATCAAACTCCTCTTGCCATGTCCACCAGTCACATTCTCTCTTTCAGAAATTGCCAATAGTTCTCTCTGACATTCAATACTAATATTATTTAAAACCAATAAAAGTCAAGGTTTTCATCTATCAAATGACATATTATATTATGTTGTTTCTGTATACAGAATTGTGAACTTTGCTTTAAATACAAACTTTATTACCATGAGAAATACATCGACTAAATTAGATGAATTTGTAACTGCTCTTTTCACATAGTTAGAAAGTTAGAAAAATGGTGATAGTTATGGGACATATAATAACATAATAAAAATGTTTCATCAAGTACACTAGCAAGCAGCCCATGCATAATATAATTTGATAGCATAACAGGAGCTGCACATTCCCCAAGTGATTTACAACTTATAATGGCACAAATAGTAGTTAGACACAGTTCAAGGGCAATAAAATAATAAAACTGAAGAATAAATAGATGTATACTGTTACAAGTTTTAAGCTATTTCGGATAAACAATTGTAGTTTCATGTTACAATTTGAAGTCATTCTAGAAAGAGAAAAAGGGTAATTCAGATTTATTTTTTGAACTCTCTTTGAAGGTTACACAGTTGGTCAGTTTGACCAACCTTGTATAGAGTTAGGGCAGAGAAAATAACAGATTAAATATAAAGTTTTACTGATAAAAAAACGTTGGAAATATATTTAGGAAGTTTTAGAGATTATGAAAATGAAATTTGAGATTTCTGAGATGAAGAAAGGTATTTTTAATCTTAACATGGAAATCACTTTGCACTATATATATATATATATATATACACACACATATATTCATGAACAAATCACTAGTAAACATACATTAAAAAATCTGCTTTTTTTGTAGTGCTTATAAAAGTCTGCCAAATTTTATGAAGATACAAATTATGAAAACAATGAGTACAGAAGTCAGTCAATTCAAACAACCTCATAACGAGAGAGTTAACACATACTTATAAAAATTTATTTCATGTTAGATGAAGCACTTTTAATCTTTAGTTTCAGAAAACTTTGTATCATTATTAATAATTATGTTGTTACAAACTTCTCTACATCAAACTATAGTGTTTTGGCTCAAAATATTTCATTAATAGGAGTTTCTATTATCAGAAAAAGAAAAAAAAATGCTTCAGTTAGAGAATCTAGAAACTTATCTAATTGTTTAAAACTGTAACCATGTTTAACTTGATTCATTTACAAGAACTGCCAAGGGTTACATATTATAATATTTTGTGAGATTTGTCTTAAATATATAATAATGTTTTTAAATGATTGGAAAGAACAAATCTATCTTAGTAAACTCAAACAATAAGTAACTGATGAACACTACTCTGAATGTAGCTTCTTACCATATCCTCATCTTTGTTGTATCTTGCAATGTCCCTTCTCAAGGTCCGAATTATGATCATGGTAAGGATTCCTGGAATATTACAAATGTAAATTGCTGTACAAGAAGAATCCTTTATATAACATATGATATTAGCAAGACAGAAAACTTTTGATAACTACAAGATATCTTCTAAATGTTTGTTTAAGAAATTCTTCAATGCATCTTGTATATGGTACATTTTATAATATAAACATACCTCAAAATAGAAACTTAATTTTATAGTGATTCTATAGTGAGTAATTTATGTTTAATTTCATACTTATTGGAGGGGTGGTAGATAAAACATAAAAGAGAAGATGCATAGAGAAAATGTTTCACACTAGGAGAAATTCAGGATTTTTTAAAATATTGCAATATAAAATTAAGAACTTAAACTTATATAATATTAAAACATAGATTATTAGCAAAGATTTTATGCTATACTAATTAGAATAATATAAATAAAAAGTAGGTTAACAAAATTTTGAATGTAAGTCACTAAAACCTCACGATGTGCAGTAAAGGGTGCCCGTTGCAATACAGTTAATTCATTTATCTAAAATCGTTTTTATCTGGTTTTTCAATTCATTACCATAATACCAAACAATATTCCACATATTTATTCTCATTTTCTGAAAGTTGTTTGAAGTCTCTCTGTATTTTATTTCTTTTCCAGGTAATAAGACTTCACAGAGAAGAAAAGCTATATTGATAAAAGTGTGAACACATTAGACGATTTATGGGTGAATCACACTGGGAAATAACCCCTATAAGATACATTTTATATGATTTTTAAGATAGAGGAATTTCTGAAACAATACATTTCATTAATAGGTAAAATATTCATCCATTTTCATTTGAAAACACAAGAAAATCATGGTAGAACTATATAACATATTATCAAAAACAACGAACAAAGTTAAAAGTCATTGTGTACAAAAAAGTACATTTTTTAGCCTTTCATATTGGTATTTGTTAATATATTCTTAGTTACTTCCTCAGGATACAAGGGTTATCATTTGACAGGTAATGATCTGAGATGACCTCATGATTAAGCTATCTGATGACCTCAAAAATAAACCTGTACTGGTAACCTTAAGGCTGAGTTAGAAACATAACCTTAAAGTCAAGGTATTTAAAGTTTTCAAGGCTAGGCTATTTGATGAACTTTAGGCTGAGCTTGAAGAAAAAAAATCTTCAAATAATATGGAAAATGACTTTTTTTAATTTTTACCATATTTAACCAATTGCTAAACTGCTACTTACTTCATAAGTTTATCAATTTCATTAAAAATATGAGAGTAGCATAAAACATTTGAAAATAAAGAAAAGATGAAAGTCAATTGTTACCAGACAGGAAGAAGACAACCACAACAGAATTGATGATTGAGAACCAATGAATCTGCACATCACTCATGGCTAAATAGGTATCCCATCGTGAAGCCCACCTTATGTCACTAGCTTCCCACAGAACCTCATAAGTGAACAGTAACTCTGTAAAATCTTTAACCAGAAACAAAGATTCATAAAGTTTTTACTAAGCAAAAAAATTATTACAAATCTATTCTTGGAAACATATGTCGTTAGAACACGTATGCAACAAGTTCTTGAAATAGTTATATATATATATATAGACACACACACACACACATAGACATACACACACACACAGAGATAATAATACAAGTTCTCATTCTTGAAATTAACTTTTGAGTATTAATAAAACATCTAAATAACCAAATACAATTAATGACCAAAACTGTTTTAAAACAGCAAAGGCAAAAAAATATAAAATTGTTCATACAGATCAATAAATGTGAAAACAAATACAACAGTAGATGGGTTTTATAAAATCAAATATAACTACAAACATTTATGTAAAGATCTGAGCGACACTAAGAAAGTGGATAAAGCAAAAATTGCCTAAGAACAAAAAGTATGACAAAAGCTAGAAGTAACAGAAAAAAACTTAATACCACATTAATGTTATATTACAAGCAGGTCATACTGGTACTACCTGCAAATGATTAGCAGCAAGTTAAATCTTTATCACAGTAATTTTTCTGACCTGCAACTGTTTATTGAGTTCAACCTCTGACTTTTGAATAATTCTATAATTGCCAAATAACATAAACATAAAATAGCTTTGAAATTATAGTTAGTTTAAAAGTTCTTGGTATAGAAAAAGAAAATTTAACATTATCATCATGAATCTTCTCAAAGACTTTCCCCCATTCCAACCTGAGCTTCTACTGTATACTTGTCAATATTCAAGATACACACCATTTTTCATGAAATCCTGAACCAATTCATATATTTCTGGGACTTTAAAAATTAAATGATGAATTTTTTCTCATTTAAGTTTGCTAAGAAATTTCAAATTTTCAGAAATTCTATAAAAAATCTACGAGTGAAAAAAATCATTTTCTTCAGCTATTTTATATTAACCAATAGAAAGAAAAAAGTTTGGATTTTGTCCTATCCTCAACTACACTCAACTAATAAATTTTTTTTGAATTTGATTTCTGTTTGTTTGTTTTAGCCCAAACAATAGGCTACCTACAAAATGGTTTGAAAAAAAAAATATATATATATATTAGCAAATTGTTCTTGCTCTTTAGAGTTTTATATGATACAAGCTCCTAAAGTCACTCCATCTGGTTTTGAAAATTGAAGTAGAGGCTTAAACTAGTTTGTAATTTAGTATAAAGATAAAGTAGTGATAAAATCCAGTAATATATTTTGTTATAAAATGTTAGGCTTAACAGTGTTGTCAATAGACTACTGGTATTTAGTGTTGAGTATTTATTCCCGGGCTACAAATCAATGGCTAAGACTAGTGTAGAAGTTAAGCATTCACAGTTTGTTAGATGAGATGGGTGCAATGAGTGGGTTTTATTTGGGAACTTGGAACAGGTATGTACTCTTAAGGAAGCTAGCAGTGAAAATGTGCACTGTGGGAAAAATGGCAGCATGGATATCAAGAGGAACGTAAGCTTTTACATGCAAGGGATACATCAGCTAACAATGATTCTCAGGAAGTTACAAGCAGTACTATTAGGGCTAAAAAGTTAACATTTTCTAACAATGAAAATGTATTTCCAATAGCTATTTACCTCTTTTCACCCAAAGCTATCTCAACCTTTATTTTATACCCCTTCATTTTTGTGCCATTTCAGCAACATGTAATGATCACGTGACTACCCTCCATCAATTATAATGCACTACCTATACTATACTTTTACCATTTCAGCACAATCCTCAGTTTTGAGAATTGGCAGATACAAACTAGAAACACCGGGAGGAAGGGGGTGAGAAGAGATAAGTGCCTATCGGAAATACATTTTCAGTGTTAGAAAATGTTAACTTCCGAAATGGTACTACCTCTACTCACCCAAAGCTAGAATCACACATGCCAAAAGTGGAGGGGCTAGTGAAGGCACAAAAGTAATGAAACAAGCGGAGAACAACCCTGTGAAAGAACAGATGTGCCATAATTATAAAAGGAGGCACGCCTATGGGGTATAGCATTACTTCTGGAACAAGTATGATCTTCGCCAGTAACAAATAAAGTAAGAAACGTAGGGAGGAACTTAATAAACAGGAACCATGTCATGTAATACAGATTTCATCCCTGAACAACACATAGTATGTAAGATGTCCACATATGTAACAAGTGTGAACAAATGATGCAATCATAATTAGATTTGAAGGTGCCTGTAATAAGATATAAGAATATGTGGCGAGGGATAAAGGGCTGTAAATGTATATGAATAAGCCAAGTGCAGTCTGCCTAGGCAAAAAACATCTAGGGTAAATGTCCTGGGATATGTTGGGTTATGCCAAGTGCAGTCTATCTGGTCTAAATCAATAGTGAAAGCACCTTGCATAAGATCAAAAATTGCAGTCCACCTGGGCAAAAAATATCCAGGGTAAGCACCTTGGATTTATATTAAGATAGCCAAGTGTGGTCAGCCTAGGCAAAACATCCAGGAGAAGCACCTTGGTATACGTCAGATTATGTCAAGTGCAGTCCATCCAGACAGAAAAGATCCAGAGGAAGCACTTTGCATAAGACTAAACATTTTATATCTTGCCTGTAATATACTTAAAGATCAATAAATGAGGTCTGTCCAGACATAAAACATCTGGGGAAATGCATTATAATATGATGTAATATGACAAGTGCAGTCCATCGAGGTAGAAACATTTAGTGGAAGTGACTTGCATAAAATTGTTTCATATCTTGTACGCAAGTTATTTAGAGATCATCAAGTGCGGTCTGCTCAGGCAAAAACATCTCGGGGAAATGCCTTGTGATGTTGTTGAATATGTCAAGAGTGGTCCATCCAGGCAAAAAACATCTAGTGGAAAAGCCTTGCATAAAATAAAACTTATTTTGTGAACAACAAGTGTGGTCAGTCCAGGCAAAAAACATTCAGGAGAATTGCCTTGAATTGAGCATATTATGATATTCTATAATAATAAATATAATGATGATAGCCCTCTTCTCACTGCGTGGGTACAAAAGACTATGAAGTTTGTTTTTTCGTATAAATCCCACTCCAGAGGAAACCTCCACAAGCCACCACTCCAGCAAGTGAGAACTGGAAGTGGCAAGGACTCCCCTGCTCCACTAGAAGAAGGGGGTGTGTTTGTGTGTGTGTGTGTATGCACTGGGGAGTCTGGAAGAATGACACACTGGAGACAGTGCAATACCCCGATTGTAAGAATCATGGGTCAGTAGGAATGGGCAAAAACCTCCATCTGCTTTACTCATGAATCCATGAGTGACAGTCCTTTGTATATGATACAGTGATAATAAAAAAAAATATATAGATATATACACCGCCCTGGATAAGCGGCCAGTGGTCTTATAGATACACCCCATCTCCACAGTGAGCGTTATGGAAGTATACAGATTTAGTGCCCAGACATAATATTTAGCATACCTAACCAGGCAACACTTGTCACCAGGTGGGATCCTGAAATATGATGTATTTCAACGAAGTAATTTAAAAATAATAATAATATGTCAACTTACTCCACAAAAAAGATGAACAGATGTGTGTAGAATCACCACAGGAGGAAGATGATACCCACTTGAGGAAGACACAGCTATGTTGTATAGATAAAGAGTGAAAATTGAATTGGGAGTTGTCCACATACCAGCCTGAATGATCTCCTCCAAAAGATGAAGGTTGCAAACAGCTAAAGGAATAGATAGATGACAAACTTGATGTGAAGAAACATGATGTAGATGGCAATGTCCATGTACACGTGAGAATATGCCAGTCATACGAGTTGACGAACCCAACCAGTGAGCATAATAGGTGAAAGGTCGTGATAAACAGAGGAATTCCATGAAACAAAGAAATAAGAAGGAGAACAATGAAAAGAGGTAGTAAAGCCATATAACATAATAGATAACGAACTGGATAAAACAGATGATACGAATCTGAATGGGAGAATAGGTGGGAAGAGGAAGGTAAGAAAATAGGAGAAAAGGCCCAACAACCATCCTGGGAAGCTGATGTCCTAGGAAAGAATGCCCGATCAGGATAGAGGAGAATATACGTGAAATGATAAAGGATGCGGGAAACATTAATAGTATAATTATCGGAAAGATGACAACCACATACCAGGATGGGGAGGAAATAAGTCTTAAGGGAAAAAAGGTACAAGGAACACATTGAAATGGGTTGAAAGAGAGAAAAGGAGAGGGCATGAAGAACAACACTGAGATCCTAACATGGCAGAACAAAGGAACATGGAGGAACAGAAAAGGAGGGAAATAACCGAAAAAAAGAAGGCATTCCGGAAGAGGGAGACAGGAAGGTGTTCAACAGGGTGGCCCTATAAAGATCAACAGTCGAAACAAACAAACCCCGAACAAAGAACCAGATGAAGAACTGGGACAGGTGAGGAACAGAAGGATGGAATGGTCAGAAGCCATGACCAATAGACCAAAGTCTGAAGCAAGACCAATGCCTTTGGTATAAAGACAAGGAGGAAGGACGAATGGTGCAGGTATTCCAGTGAATGGGTAATGTATATATATATATATGTATATATATACACGGAGTTACCAGTTGAGAACACACCCACAGAAAAACCTGAGGATGGTCAGAAGCCATGGCCAATAGACCAAAGCCTGAAGTAAGACCAATGCCTTTGGTACATAGACAAGGAGGAAGGATGAATGGTACAGGTATGGAAAGACACTACAAAATAGGGTGAGTTCAAGAGCTGAAGCACGGGAACAGACAAAAGTCACACATGATGCTGAGTGTAACAAAGTTGGTATGAAAAACATCTAATCACGGTTGTCAGAGGAGTGATCAGGACAGAAATAAGGGCAGGGGCTGTAGCTCCAGGAAGGGCAGAGAAGAAGGAATCACGTTTGAGCCTGTCAATATGAAGTAAATGGCAGAAAATAATAAGGGGTGATCTGGATAAGGGAAAAGAAAAGTCTTATCGAAGGGTAGGCATATAGGTGAGAC